AGTCAAGAAATATAAAATTCTACAGCAAAGAACTGGAAATAAGTATTGACTGCATTTAACTCTAGAAATAAGACAAAAACTCATGTAACAGGTACCAAAACTGAGTGTAAATATCCTGGAAATGTAGTAATAATCCAACTAACAAAAATAGGAATCAAGAATGAAAGATGAAAGGTAAGTTGTCTGACCTGTACGAGGGGAATAAGATCTATCATTTAAGCAATTTAAACATATTTTGGTACTAGTATAAACACTAACAAAGATAATACCAATAAATAACAGAAAGTGTGAGAAAAGAGAGAAGAGAAAATACATTTTGTTACTATTCAGAGTAGGAAACTTATAGGCACTATCTAAAATAGAACTAAGAATAAGGGTATTATATAAAGTTGTCATTATAATGGTACACAAAGGAAAATAACCTATATATCAGAAGTACCTACACACACACACAAATGGACTGTATCATTAAAAACTTAAGAGAAGTTATAAAGAAAAAATAACATCATATGACAACTAAAACCAAACACATAAATCAATATATGTTAATGGCCTAAGATTGCCTTAATAAAGGATAAGGACCTTCAGGTTGTAACACATAGCAAAAATCAAGCCTGCACTGTATGAAAGACATACATCTAAAATGGTAATTCAGAAGGGTTGAATTCAAATAAATATATCGATACAAAAATAAATTAGGGGTCCAGCCTAAAATCAGACATGTTGAAATTCAAGGTGAAAACTATAATATTAAACAGTTCAGGGAAGGGCATTTAATTAGGCTGAAGCCATTAGTTCACAGTGAAGATGTATCAATTACAAATCTCTCACACCAGTTAATATAGTGTTGAGTTCCATAAAGCAAAACCTACAAATGATACATAGAACCTACAAATGATACATAGAAAAAGAGACAATAATCCTATATAATAAAGAGCTAATATGCAAATGACTGTCATGTCGCCACACTGTCACGCCGGGGCTGGGGGACCTGAGGCTGTGCTCCTCTCTCCCCCCCGACAGGTTTGACAGGTACCTGAGGCTGTGCCAGGGGACCTAAGGCATTACCCCTGCCTGGCACTGGGCCAGGGGACCTGAAGCTGCACCTTCCATCCAATGGGGCTTGTCAGGGACCTGAGGCTGAGCCACCAACCCTGGGGAGCTTTACGGGGGGGAGGGTGGGGCCAGCTGGGTCTGGGTCTTGTGCGATTTGGAGGCATGCATGGTTGGGCAGGAACTTGACTCTGGGTACTATGGTGTGCCTCAGACTCTGACAGGAGGGAGATTTTCATATACATTTTACTAATTTTCTTTCAACTCTGACACTTCTGTTACAGATAAAGGGCAAACAGCAATATTAAAATATTTCCTCAAATTCCCTTCTAATGTGCATGAACTTTGTACACCAGGCCACTAGTATTAGTAATAAATAAATTGAGTTTGCTCTTGGCTTAGGAATGCTTAACAATTAATAATAATGATTATATAGATACACTTGAAGCCCAATGCATGAAAATCATGCAAGAGTAGGCCTTCGCAGTCCTGGGTGTCTCGGCAGCCTTTGCAGCCTCAGCTTCATCCAGAAGGTTGTCTGGAAGGTCATCTGGACAGTCATTCCACTATTTGGCTGTTTGGTTGATTTGCATATTATGCATTTAATATATATATGCTAGACCAACCAAAAGCTTCCTGGCAACAATTCAGCAATGTCTATCAAAATTACAAGTGCATATACCATTTGACTCAGACATTTTTCTTTTAGATTGATTGTACAGATGTACTCACATAAATATGAAATTACCTATTTATAAAGTTACCTGTTTTACAAGTCATTGAAAAATACTTTGTGTAGTAAGATATTGAGACGACCTAAATGTCTATCAACAGGTCTGGTTAAATAAAATATGCAGCAATATTGTACATTAGGACACAATGCAGCAGAAAAAGGGGATATATATATATATATATATAGTAACATCACTATATATATATATATATATAGAGAGAGTGATGTTTCTCTGTTATTACTTTAAAAGTTCCTAGTGATATATATATCCTAGAGATGATATATATTAAGTGAAAAAGCAAGATGCAGACTATGTATATAAATACTATAATTTTTCCCTACCTCAAATAAGTGGGGACAATTAATTTATATATGCTTGTATACAATGTGCAAACAAATCTCTGGAAGTAAAAACAAAAAAGTAGCAACAGTGGTTACTTGTTAGAGGAATGTGTACTGAACAGATGGATAATGGAGTAGTAAGGAAACTTAAAAAATAGACTTAAAATGTATGTTGTTGAATGTGGATATATTATCTACTAATATATAAACATCAAAAAGAAATTATACTACAGGGGCATAGAAGATAAAGCAGTTTTACCTTAGGGAATTGGAAGATGTATTTAGAATGTGTAAAATTTGAATAGAGACTTGAAAAATGAGTGAACTCTAAAAAATGGAGGAGATTGGGAAGTTATTAGGCAAAAGAAATAGGTTATACAAAGAACATAAAACTGAACCTGGGAAATAATATAGGGTTTGGGAACTGAGTCTGTGAGGGCAACAGGGGGCATCAGAGGGATGGAAAATGGCTCAGAAGAGGAATTTAGAAAGTTTAGGCAGAACCATTGGAAAGCTGATTGTATGTTATGGTAAGTGCTGTTTGGTTCCATTTAAGGGACTTGAATGTCTGTGTGGGCCATCGCATATGCTAGGTGCTGCGGAAATGAGACTCTCTGCAAGGCTGGTGGTTCTCAATCCTGACTGCAAGTAGAATCACGTGGAGATCTCTATAAAATGCTGAGGCTAGGCCCCCACTCCACACAATGCAGTGAGAATTTTAGGGCATAAGGACATGGCATCAGTTTTCTCTAAACACTTACTGGTGATTCTAATCACATGCATTTTATTTTGAGAATGCCACTTATCCCCACCCTTCCTCCTCCTCTTCCTTATTTTAATGAAGGGATTAATATTGTATAGAAAGTGGTTGTGACATAGATCTAGAGAAATCTCTGAACTAGAAGCAAGAAAATGAGAGATTATAGAAAATAGTTCAATCAGAGATGATAAAAGCCTTAAAAAAAGTATGGTTATCTACCCTAGCCATTGCTCAGTGGTTAGAGCAGTTAGATTCTGGTCAGGGTGAGTTTCAGAAGGAGCTAAAATTTGATGTGTTTCTCTCGCATGAATGTTTCTCTTTTTCTGTCTCTACCTTTTCCTTCCACTCTCCCTAAATATCAACGGAAAATATTTTTGGATGAGGATTAACAACATCATCAACCAAAACTATGGTTATTTGAGGCCAGTGCAAAGTTTTGAATTTTAAAAGATATTTAAGTGGAGAAATCCACAAGGTTTGATCACTGATTAGGTGGAAGGGAGTGATGATTAGCCAAAGATAACCTAGCGTGGATGGCTGGGTATATGGTGATGTCATTAGTCAAAAGAGGAATGCACTGTTGGGCTGGTGTGGCTCAGTGGTTGAGCATTGACCTAAGAACCAGAAGGTCACAATTTGATTCCTGATCAAGGTATATGGGTTGTAGGCTCAATCCCCAGTGTGGAGTGTGCAGAAGGCAGCCAATCAATGATTTTCTATCACTGATGTTTCTCTTTGCCTCTTTCCCCTTCTCTTTTGAAATCAATCAAAATATATTTAAGAGAGAGAGAGAGAGAGAGAGAGAGAGAGAGAGAGAGAGAGAGAGAGAGAGAGAGAGAGAGAGAAAGAGAAAGAAAGAAAGAAAAAACAAACTAGGAAGTACTGGTTGGAGTGAGTGAAGGTAGAGGCAAAATAATGGATTCAGTTTTGGAAGGGTTGCCTTGAAGGTACCTGTAGTTATAAGATGCACCAGGGGATGGGGCGTTTGGATCTAAGCATAGAGGGAAAGGCACTATTACAAAATCTCTGCATTCCATCCACATCTAAAAAATTTTCCACAGAGCCGAAACAGGTTTGGCTCAATGGATAGAGAGTCGGCTTGGGGACTGAAAGGTCCCGGGTTTGATTCCGGTCAAGGGCATGTACCTTGGTTGGGGCCATATCCCCAGTCGGGGGTGTGCAAGAGGCAGCTGATCGATGACTCTCTCTCATCGATGTTTCTGACTCTCTCTCTCCCTTCCTCTCTGTACAAAATCAATAAAATATATTAAAAAAAATTTTTCCACAGAGAACAGTTCTCATCTTACCCTTAATCAGAGTCAGGACCAATTTGGGGGATAGGTACTTACAGTAGCAAGGTGAATATTCTGTCCTAGAGAATCTGTACTGAGCTGATACTGCAATGGAACAGGAAGAAATGATGGGTGCACTGAAAGGAGGTGCAGGTGGCCCCCTACCCAGGTTCCAACTCCAGGGGAGTGAAGCTGGGCCTGCCTGGTTCTTTATCCTCTCTGTGTATTTCATTAGTGTCCCATTATTTTAGGGTAACGATCATCACAGCCAAGTTAGCTTAAAAGGTGCTTATTTTTCAGGGAGAGAAAATGCTTCCTCTCCCTCTAGCCTTGGCCCTGCATACAAGGCAGCAGCTGGATGAGGGGGCTAAGGCAGAATCCAGTGAGCAGGGACACCGTTAAAGCCACTCTAACCCTCAAAAGTTCCTTGATGCTCAGGCCTGGAGCTCTGACCTAGACGGGGCTATTGGTGAAGGTCAGAACGCATTCCAGATGCTGGGACCTCCGAGTAGGAAACCAAGCATCTCCGAAAGAGGAGAGGGGCCTGGGGAGATGGTGCTTGATGCAGGGGTACCTGGAACTTGCTCGTGAGACACTTGATCTGTAATGCTTCAACAGCCATTGGGGTCTCTTGTATCATCCAGTCCCCAGTAATCAGAACATCTAAACTGAAAGGGACCCCTAAGAAATTATCAATTATCGGTGAGGATATGTAATCTTCAACTTCTTTTCTAAGCAATCAAGAATATTGAATTATTGTAATATGCCAATTGAAAGTTATTTGTTACTCACATTTTTCTATTGACTTTTTCCATAAAAGCCTCAATTTATACCAACAAGCAGGATCCCTGAGTCCACTACCATCTGCCAGATTTCAGCACCTAAGGTAGGATTGAGCCATTTGTGTGATGTTTTTCATGTAAAGGATGAGCCAAATGTCATCATGGTTGATGAGGTTCAGAAAGTGAAGCACTCTGAGAGGAGGAGGTAAAAAGCGGGGAGGGTAAAGGGAAGATTATCTGTAATATTAACAACAAAAAATATACTTAAAAAAAGTGAAGCACTAACGAATTCTTTTAAAACTGTCATCATTTTTTTTTCTTATTAGAGTGATGCATGTTTATTAGGAAAACGCAGAATATAATATATAAATTAAAAAATTTAAATCATGCATTGTCTTACTTCCTGGAGCTGATGACCATTTAATATATTTTAATGTATTTCTTTCCAATATTTTCAATGGTTATATCTGATACTTATATTTATATACTTAATATAAAGAGAGAGACTATCTGTGGACATATTTGTCTAGAAATATGTTATATGTGTAATTTCTACATTGTTTCTTATGTTTCTTATGTCATATCCTATATAATAAAACCCTAATATGCAAATCAACCGAACGGTGGAAAACCTGGTCGCTATGCTGCACACCGACCACCAGAGGGTAGACACTCAATGCAAGAGCCCCCTGGAGGTCAGTGTGCTCCCACAGGGAGAACGCTGCTCAGTCAGAAGCTGGCTCATGGCTGGGGCAAGCACAGTGGCACTGGCAGCACTAAAGAGGGCGCAGGCTGGGCTGAAGGACCCCCCCTTCCTCTTAGTGCCTAAATGTCATGCACTGGACCTCAAATGTCTATTATCTAAAATTTTAAATGTAGAGAAAATTTTTTTAAATTGTTACAAAGAACTTTCAGTTATATCATCACACAGAAAATATGGAAAATTGTAATTTTAGTTGTTTACATTTGTTAACAGGCAGGTTATGGAATTGATAAACCCAGCCATCTTTTAGATAAGTAGATTCTATCTAAATTATATCATATGCATATGCACCAGGGTGCCAAAGGCAAATAAATTTATGTTGGAAGGAATCAAGAGGCACACTGTTCTCAATTTGGGGTTGTCTGAATCCTCAAAATTATATTTGTTGACTCAGTGCAGCTCTATTGAGACAGATTCTGAATGAGCTATTACAGTTGTATACATTTGCTAAAGTCTGTTTCTAAGCTTCTGCTTTATAAGGCTTTTACTAGTAATATCACCAAGTGTTATAAGGTTTTTAGAAAAAATGATGCTTAATTATAAATAAGCTGACTATCAAAAAATAAAAACATATTCTTTGTTGTAAAGGAAAATACAAAACCTCGGAAAATCAGGCCTTTGAGTTATGACTTGAAGCATGAGTCTCTTGCATCCTCTGAGCTCTCCGCTGACCAAAGAAGCTGGAAGAGTAAAACGGAAGGGACGGACTCTGATGTGGAGTTCGTTTCAGAAACTAAAGTGATGAAGTCTACAAGGAAGAAATCAGAGCCACAGCAGAGACACCCAGCCGCCCTCCCAGAAAAGGTCAGACTCACTGAAAGATCCCAGGTGTGTTTTTCTCTTCTCAGTCACCAAATGTGTAGTTTTCTTCTCTGGAAATAGCATGTGGTAAAGGTTTTGCTTCATTTCCACATTTTCAAAGCACTCTAATTAAAGCATACACATTGTAATATCAGTTTCCTGGACAAAGTCCCAATTTCTATTTTTTCTTCTGTGTTCTCTCTTTTGGAGGAAAGGTCAGATTGCTAATATTAGCACATCAGCAAATTGTATGAAGAGCTCAACCAATTAAAGGGCCCCCCAAAAATATGTCTGTATTTAAGAGACATATTCATATAGGATACTCATATAGGATAAACCTGCAGACTTAAGGATTTTACATCCAAAGCTTTATAGCAAAAATGCTTAGCCAAATTCTATAATAGATACTCCCGTAGTCATGGTTCTGGAAAAATGGGATATAATTTCAATAGTACAACTAAATGCTAAGACTGATTTTAATAAATGTTATACTAAGAATGTCAATGTGTCCAAATTAGTTTCTTTTCTTTTTTTAAAATTTATTTAGAGATGTTATTATTGATTTAAAGGAGAGGAAAAGAGAAACATCAATAATGAGAAACATTGATCTGCTGCCTCCTGCAGGAGCCCCTGCTGGGGATCAAGGCCACAACCCAGGCATGTGCCCTGACCAGGAACCAAACCAGCAGCCTCTCGATGCAGGGGATGATGCTCAACCACTGAGTCATACCAGCCAGGGAGAGTTTCTTTCCAAGAATCACTGTATACTTTCATTCTTATAATATTACCTTTACTTAAGTCCTTTTTGAGAATTAGCCCTGAGATTCAGTTTATAATAATGACAGTGCCCAACATTGAGTGTGCCAGATACAGTGCTAAATTATTACAGACATTATTATCTCACTACCATTTTAAATCCTTTACATGCCAAAATTTACGGCCTAGTTTATCTGCCTTGTTCATCAAACTTGACTTCTAATGTCTTTTTCTTATTAAATTCACCCTTCAAGGATAGATATCAGCCACCATAAAATATATTAAAAAGAACTGCTGTAGGCTCTGAAAGGAATAAACTGCTTTAATCAGCAGATATCTACTGAACTTATGCCCTTTGTAATATACTATGCTATGCATTGTGGGAGTCAAGGTATTTTAGGCATGGTTCTTTCAGAAGCAATTATTCTGAACAATGGTTACCTTACAGAAATATCTCACATGTTCCTTTGTAATATATTTGGCAAATGGCATATAGACTTTTCTTGAAAATCTTTAGTGATGGAGACTAATTGCCCCCTAAGGCAGCCTTGTTTTTTGACTATCTTTTTCTCTTAAAATATTGAAAGTCCAATTCCCAATGACTTGGATGTTTTAGCTATATATTTTTTTTGAGACAATAGAAGCCAAGTTGAATCTGTCTATAATCATCAGACTTTTATTTTGAATTGGTATAATATACATGAGTTCATGCATTCAGCAGATATTTGTTCAGCCCTTGCTATGTCCCAAATACTGCATGTGAGTAATATCTTGTTTATAAATTAGTTTTATCCTTTAACCCTGACTTCCACTAATTGTGCAATTTTAAGATTGAAATTGGGGATTTGCCTCATTTATTTGCTACGAGTTTGACATGCTTGGTCTAGAGGCAACACACAGCTGCTCAGATAATAGTTATAGGTACAGAGGCTGCTGCTGCTTTGTGAGAAAGATGTATTTGTTAACCAGCCAGTGTGCAGTTGCCTGTATGGGACTGTTGTGAAGAACTGGTTTGTCTGATGATCCTTGTTAGCAATGGCCACTTGGCCTGTAATAAAGACTCATTCTTACACACCCACACTTCTCATGGCTTCTCTGTCTACCACTCAGCATCCAGGAAGGTCCAGCCCCTGACAGAGGGGCTCAGACCCTATAGTTAGCATAGGGGCTAACTATAGGGGCTCAGACCCTATAGTTGGACAGGATCAGAACCTGTACTCCCACATTCATACCAGCATTCAGCATTTGGCTCATAGATAGAGTATAGGCCTGCAGACTGAAGGGCCCAGATTTCAATTCCAGTCAAGGCGCATGCCCGGGTTGTGGGCCCAGTCCCAATAAGGGGTGTGCAGGAGAGAGCTGATCAGTGGTTCTCTCTCATCAATGATGTATCTCTCTCTCTCTCTCTCTCTCTCTCTCTCTCTCTCTCTCTCTCTCTCTCTCTCTCTTCTTCTCTGATATTAATAAAAAATATTTATTTTTAAAAAGAGTTCTCTGATAGTGGCATAGTCAGCAGGATGGTAAACTGAGGCCACTGGAGCAGAGGACTCAGTAGCAGTGCATTCTCTGACAGGGAGCATGGTGAATACAAAGTGCCTTAGAAAGACAACTAAGCTGTGATGGGGCAGTGAGATTGAAAGAGGCTGGTGTGAGATGAGGATAGAGTGACCAGAACCATACAGATCCCATATATAGCCTTTGATAAGAGGTTTCGCATTTATCCTCAAAGCAATGGGAAATCATTGAAGAGCTTCAGGTAGGGAAGTTGCATGGCTAGTTTTTCTTGAGAGACTACTTTGGCTGAGTAGAGCGCAGAGTGAATTCAGGCAGGGCAGTTAGGCAATTACAGTGTTCGCATGAGAAATACCAGTAGTGAGGGCTAGGATGATGGTGGGGGAGTAGAGAGAAATGATCCATTTGTTTCTTCTATTGTCTTGAGGAGGGAACACTGACACCTCTGGGTGATATATAGGATACAGAAGATGAAGCAGAGGGAAATGGCAAGAATGACTGCAGAACCTCTGGCTCTTGCACGTGGTTTATGGTGATTCCATTCATTGATACAGGGAATGCTAGAATATGGCTGGGCTTGTGAGAAGGAGCATGAGTTCAGCTTACACAGTTCGAAACTCTTAAGGGGACATGCCAAGTGAGGAGTAAGGGTAAGAAGAAAATAAAGACTACATAGAAACCTGCCTAGCAGTCTGAGGATGTGTGCACAAGGAACTGTGTGGGACTAGCCAGAGCAATAGGAGAAGAAATGAGGAATTTGTTTTATTATTAAAGCCAAGGACAGAGAAAATAAAAGGCAACCCAAGGTAAGATGGTCAGAGAGGCCAAAAGGCTTCTAAAAAAGTTCACTGACTTAATGACTTAGAGGTTAATAGGGATGACCTCAGGAAGCATTTTATTGTTTTTGTTGGAGTAAAGAAGGGGAAAGAATAGAATAGTTTGATTAGCCAGTAGAGGGTGAAGAAAGGGAGACTGGTGATATGTCAACTCTTGGAAAGGTAAGATAATTTTACTTCAGAAGATATCATATACTTAGCAAAATCTACAAGTGAGGTGGATAGATCAGGAGACTGTCATTCTTTATAATCTGTTGAAAAATGAATTTAATCAGCTTTTAAACTGCAATTGAAACAACTTTTAATTACTTGAGGATTATTTTCAGTGAGTTTTTAATATCCTGTCTAGTAAATACAGTACTAGGCACTACCACTGCCAAAGGAGGTGCAAGGAGTGTAATTAATTTTAATATTAGCCTAAGTAGATGGGATTAGGAAGGCAGATGTGCTCTGAGTAAATCTCATCATGTGCTCCAAAAGCTTGATAAAAAGGGCTCTGGTATTAGCAAATGATTTAGCTCATTTGCACCACAGTTCTGCTCTGTTAATACAGGTAATCAATTAATTAACCGTCCTTCCTAGAGAATTGTTTTTATCACACTCTTGTGTTTCTTAGGAGATTCCACTTTTTTTTTTAATCCCAAACAACTTTCCTCCCATTTCCTGAAAACAGGTCTCCCACTAAATATAATATTGTTGTTTCCTACATCTGCAGCTTTTAATTCTTTTAAAATTTCCCCGTGTTATTTGTTAATCCATTTCTCTGAACAAAAAGAAAGTAATAATTTACTCTGGGCCAGTTGCTGAGGGCTCCAAGATTGACACAGTTCTTGCCCTCAAGAAGCTAAGAGTCTGCCTCTAGCCTTTCTAATCAAAGGAGCCCTTACCCTGCATCATAAAATTTTCCATTCTAACTGTTTCTAACCTTGCAAGTATGAGGACATCCTTTCAGTATCAGTGGCATTACTGTAGATATCTCACGTAATATTAGGCATGTCCAGTATCCATTGTTAAGAACTACATAATAAGGGAAAGCCATCGTAGATATTGCAAAATGAATGCATATCTTATTCTCTTCAGCAATACCTCCATAAATTTTAAGAACAGTGTGTACATCCGTATGAGACATTATTTATCCAGTATATGGCAGTAATTCATGCAGCTTCTTTGCAAAATACTACAAGCCTTTTGATTCACTGTTGAACATCATAGTTTACACCACTGATTTCATACTTAATTTGTCTTTTGATAGTCTTTTGAATTATTTCCCGTTATTATTTAACCTTTACTAATGCATATCTAAATCATATATTTCTTGAGAGCAACAATCAGAAATTGAATTTCCTTTGTTTCTCCTACAGAGATCTGCTTCTGTACAGAAGTTAATAGAGGGTGAATGAAGGTAGTTTAATGTGTATCATCGATTGCTACTAATCCTTGTATATTTTCCTTAATACCTTACTGTAGGCCTCTTCTTGGGAAATGAAAAGGAAGCAGAATCAGAACCTTGTGCAAGGATGTCAGGATTTGATTGAAGTTGAAACCAGCAACAGTGATCAAGATATAATCCTGGTGAGATGAACTTTACTGGTTAAATGACACCTTGAGATTTATTCACTTTCATAAAGATTAGGTGAATCCAAGAAGAATTCACATTATTGCCTCAAAGTAACTGAAACATTTAATTGAATGACCTAGTTTTTTAGGTAACGAAACAGGACTCAGAAGTTAGTTACTTGCCCAAGGCTAAACAAACTAGTAAAAATAAAACTAACTCATACATCCTGACCACTAGCTCACGATGCTTTTCATTTTAGTTATTAGGCTATGAAAACTTTAAGATTATATACATATATATACATTATATATATAACTTGAAGATCATCCCAAACCCTACATGCTCAAATCCAAAGCATCTGAACCTTTCTGTAATTTGTATTATGAATTCACATCAAAAAGTGTAATTCCAAATCGATTTAAACTAGGCTACTGTCAAAAAGCCCTTCTATCAGAAGTCTATTTAAAAAATGCAGAGACATACTTTCCACTTATTCTCCTTGATTTAGTATCCTTGATTCTAGCTTGGTAGTTGATATCAAAAAGCTGTGTGTCTGGATCATTCTACCGTAGACCCCAACAGAATTGCTTTGCCTCACCAAACCCAGTGCAAAATCCCTTGGTGTTTAGGAAGAACTAACTCAGGGACTGACCACTTGAGAAACACTTCATCTGTGAAGCCAAGTTAAAGACACTATTCATTATGTTATACTGGAGGCCCAGTACATGAATTCATACACCAGTGGGGACCCTCGACCTGGCCTTCGGGATCGGGCCGAAATCGGCTCTCTGACATTCCCCGAGGGGTCGCAGGTTTTGAGAGGGCACAGGTCAGGCCAAGGGACCCCACTGGTGCATGCATGATTAAGGCCAGGGAGTAACACAGAAGGTTGGCCAGCAGGGGAGGGACTGAGGAGAGCTCCAGGGTGTGTCCAGCCCATCTCACTCAGTCCTGATCAGCCAGACCCCAGCAGCAAGCTAACCTATGGATTGGAGCATCTACCCTCTGGTGGTCAGTGCACGTAATATTGAGCAGTTGAGTGGCCTTAGCATATCTATAATAATAAAAGAGTAGTATACTAATTAGACTGGGGTCCCGGATGCCGGCCAGAGGGAAGCCCTGGTCCCTGGTGCCACTGGGAAGCTGGTATCGGCAGCTGGGGGAAGGAAAGCCTACTCTTACACCAATTTCGTGCATCAGGACTCTAGTCATTAGCATATTATGCTTTGATTGTCTTAATGGCCAACCAGAAGACTGGACACTTAGCATATTAGGCTTTTATTATATGGTATAAGTGTCCTTTGTATTATAATGCAAAGTTCATTCAGATATTAGAATTTAATGCCAGGAAAAAAAAATCTATTGATTTTTTTTTTAATCAGAACATGTATTTTATTACTTACTATGGTTCTCTTTTTACCTTTATTTACAAGAAGCTTATAGCTAAATTTTAATCTAAATAAGAATAACTATAGTCAGCTACATGATTGCTATTTTTGACATGATAATGAAATGATAATATTTAGAAAAGGGTTTGGCTCATCGTTCATGTCTTTAGGTAAGGCACTGCAGAATGCTGTTTGGAATTATAGATTTGTTTTCAGTTACAAATGAGCAATAAAGTCTTCTGACTTTACCTCAACTTCTATCCCTTTGGCAGAAAACCATTGTCATAAATTTTAAGGCTTAATAATAATTGGTTTTATTTTTTTAATTTTTCATTATGAAAATTTTCAGATATAGTACAATCAACTCCTAGGTGACCGTTTTGCATCTTCAACAATGATCAACTCATGGCCAGTCTTGTTTCATTTATACTCCCTCAGCCTCCATTATTCCCAGGCTGCATATCACTTCATCCATAATTTAGAATTGTTTTAAGAAGCCATTGAAAGGATATTGAAAAGAGCTAGGACTGATTTGTGAAAGAGAGCAGGAAAGTACTTCCTTATTGACCAATAAGGGACAACTAAATCCAGGATGTGGAAAAGGGAACACCAAATTATTTTCCAAAGAAAAAAATTTAATCTGAGGCCTAAAAGGAAGAGAAAACTGCAAATGCTATTGCAAGGAATGACAACTTTATTTACCACTTTGAAGCAAAATGTTGTATAGCTGTATCAACCTGCTTTTCAGAATCTTCAAACACTTGGTTTGTATTTTATGCAGCATTGCTTTGTCACCTTTCCAAGCTTTTATTTAAAAAAAAACAAACGAACACAAACAAACAAACAAATAAAAAACACAACCAACAACCATATTTTTATTGGTTTTAGAAAGGAAGGGAGAGGGGAGAGGAAAATATCAGCATCAATGATAAGAGAGAATCATTGATCGGCTGCCTCTTGCACAACCCCTACTGGAGATTGAGCCTGCAACCTGGGCATGTGCCCTTGACCAGAATTGAACTTGGGACTCTTCAGTCCTCAGGCCAACGCTCTATCCACTGAGTGAAATCAGCGAGGGCTTTCCAAGTTTTTAGTTAGTGCTTTTCATTGATTACTAGAAGTAGGACATTTATATTAATTTTTTGTCTTTTTATGTGATATTTCTCAAATTCTTAAGTTACTTGTGTGTATGCATGTGGTATCATTTATTTGTGTCCCTGTGATCCTAGTAGGAAATCTCTTTTGAAACTCATGGGGACTAATTAATTTGGTAAATAGAGATTATCCAAAGTTGCATACTAATTTCTCCATTTGGCTATAGTTGCAGTAATTCCTAATAGGAAATATTTCTGAGTGTTTGACTATCGATTACATTCTTAAACTCAAAAATCAAACATAATTCTTCTTAACCCCTGGGCATCTTCCCAGTAACCTTCTATTTATGGTGCCTGTGTGAATGTGTGCATGCATGTACTTTAATTCCGACCTGTATCTGTCACATTTGAAGAAGGAAGGCACTCGCGGGCTAACAGTGCTATGAGAGGTTATTACTTAAGGGAGAACAATTAGCTACTACACGGGACACTCTCCACCCCTCCCCATAACCAGCTGGTTTTTATTATTTTGATGACTTTGCCTGACACAGGGCCTTATTATTTTCAGGTCTAACAGGCTCAGAACTATATGTTCAGCACACAGAAGGAAGTTCATCCCACAGGGATGATTTCCCATGAGACTGAACTCATGAGACTGTTGTATAAGATCACAGTGGCATCTTAGTCATTTAGAAGATGAGTACAGCCTCACTGCAACTGGAAGTCTCAGACTTGACCTTACACTGGGCATTCTTTCCTTTCACACCAGTCTTCATGGGTCAGCCAACTGCAATCTGACCGTTGTTGGTGAGCAGTATGTCTGAATATTGGAAAGGCTTCCAGTTAAAACAGCCTGTGTGTCCGTCTCCCTTGCACTGTGCCTACCCGTGCTCCTGTGAGAGTATTTTTTTCACGTTGTATGATCCATTCTGGTCAGCAGCATGTTCTTTCTTCTGCTGTGTTAATGTCTGCCTTCTGAAAGGATTTTTTTTCCATGTTAGGCCATTTCAATTTCTTCTTTTTCAAGTTTCAGTCACATCTCGTTCTGCCTCTCTGACTGACAGTTGTACAATTTTGTGTGAAATGATAAGAATATTGTTTCCTTCTCAAATTTATGTTGACTCTGACCATAGCTGATTATTTACACCATGTTATAATCATTCATTCCCCCAAATCATCTCTGCTGTGGCTCAGGGTTACAAAAGTTTCATCTGTTTTCCTAATGTTTTCCTCTTCCCATTCCCCTAATTCTTGATTACCCTTCATGTTCCTTTTCTCCAAGGCCTACAGTCTATTGAAGCTATTTGTAAAAACCCACAGTACTTAGTTGTTGTTTTTTTAATCCCAATGGGATAATCCTTACTTTCTAGTCATTTTTAACTTTTATCTCTTTGCTCTACATTTTGTATCACATTCACCACTCTCCCTTCATTTTCCTCACCTCCAGTTGCTTCTGATCATATACTTCATTGGTGTCACTTTCATGACATTTTATTTCTTTTTTATATTAATTTGTATTATACATTCCCTTTTAGCCAGCACAGGCCATTCATTTTCAAAGTCCATGTACTGAGTATACTTGATCAGATTTGGAGCTTTGGAAACCTTTAACTGGGATGCAGTTAAAACATCAGCCATTTTCTTAAGATTAATAAAACTGTCATAATAACCTACTGAGAGAGAGAGCATATTCACCAATTATACAATACATCTGATAAGGGATTAATATCCAAAATTTATAAAGAACTCATACAACTTGACACCAAAATACCAAACAACCAGATTAAAAAATGGGCAAAGGACTTGAATAGACACTTTTCCAAAGAGGCCATATAGATGGCCAATAGACACATGAAAAAAATACTCAATGTCACTAATCGTCAGAGAGATGCAAATTAAGCTACAATGAGATATCATTTCACACCTGTCAGAATGTGTGCCATCAATAAATCAACAAACAACAAGTTTGGCAAGAATGGCAAGAAAAGGGAACTGTTGTGCACTGTTGGTAGGAATGCATATTGGTGCAGCCACTATGGAAAAACGTATGGAGTTACCTAAAAAAATAAAAAATGGAACTGCCTTATAACTCAACAATTCCACTTCTGGAAATTTATCCAAAAAAATCCAAAACACTAATTTGAAAGAATATATGCACACTTATGTTCATTGCAGTGTTATTTACAATAGCCATGATTTGGAAGCAGCCCAAGTGTCCAAGTAGATAAAAAAGCTGTGGTACATTTACCCAGTGGAATACTACTCAGCTGTGAAAAAAAGAAGGAAATCTTTCCTTTTGTGACAGCATGGATCAACCTGGAGAGTATTATGCTAAGTGAAATAAGCCAGCCACAAAAAGACAAATGCCATATGATTTCACTTCTATGTGGAATCTAATGAACAAAGAAAACTAACAATGACAACACTTATAGATACATAGAGGGACTAACAGATATCTTAGGGGAGGGAGGTTGGGTGAAAAAGGTGAAGGAAATAAGCAAAATAAAATAAAACAACTCATAGACATGGACA